GAGAATCCAGGATTTAAACGATAAAAACAAAATTTAAAAAGCAAACTGAGCAGAGGCATCAGTAGTTACTCACTGCAGGGGAAAGAGTGTTCACTGATTTATCCCAGGTAAAGAAATGCCAACAGACACACATGAATAAACAAATAAACAAACTGGCAATAATAACAGCCTTTGGAGAGAGGGAAAAATCAGAACCCAGAGATGCTACAATTTATTATCTAAAATGTCTAGTTTTCAACAAAAAGTTTTAAGACATGCAAACAAAACAAAACAAAAACAAGAAAGTGTGTGGCACATACTCAGGGGAAAAGGCAGTCGATTAAACAGTTTCTAAGTGTCTCTAGATGTTAAGAGTTAGGAGAAAAATATCTCAATGAAGATACTATAAAATATTCAAAGAATTAAAAGAAACCCTGTTTAAAGAATTAAAGTCTGACAATAATGATCAATAAATAGAGATTCTGAAGGAGATGAAAATTATTTTTTTAAAAAGAAACAAATGGAAATCTTTCAGTTCAATAGTATAATAAATGAAATGAAAAATTCACTACTGGGCCAACAGATCTGAGATGTCAAAGGAATCAGTGAATTTGAAGACAGCAATAAAGATGATCAAATCTGAGAGCACAGAAAAACAAGATTTGAAAAGAAATGGACAGAAACTCACAGACCTGTGGGACACCATGGAGTTCCAACCAACATAAACTGAAATTATCAAAAGGAGAGATTAAAAAAAAAAAACACAGAAGTTCAGTTGGTTTAGGGTAGGACTAGCATTTTTGAAAAAGAGAGAGAGAAAAAAAAACAGTGAGTCTAACATGCAGTGAAGTATTTGAATAAATTATGGCCAAAATGTCCCCATATTTGTTGAAAAATATTAATCTACATATTCAAAAAACACAATGAACCCCAGGGAGGATCAATAAAAGGGATCTACATCTGGACACATCACAGGTAAACTCTTGAAAGCCACAGAAACCTTGAGGGCAGTAAAACAAAGACACTCATCGTGTAAGGACAGCATTGGTACAATCAGTGGCTGGCTTCTTATAAGAAACAATGCAGACAGACAGAAGACAGACTCATCGGGAAACCGTGAATTAAACCCAAACTCCACTAGGATGGCTATAGCCGAAGGACAGTGTTGACAAGGGAATGGAGAAACTACAAACGTCATCATGTTCCTGGGAATATAAAATGACAGAGCCACTTGGGAAAAAGCTCTGCAGAATCTTAGAGTGTTAAACACAGACTCACCGTGCAACCCAGCAATTTGATCCCTAAGAATCTACCCAAGAAAATAAAAACATACTCGCCTATGAAGACATTTACATGGCCATTCACAGGACATTATAATTAACAGCCAACCCTGGAGACAACCACCAAGGTCCATCAACTGGCAAATGGAGAGAGAAAATGTGCCCTGGCCTCACAACGGGTGCTGTCCTCGGAGAGAACAAGCTCACTGAAACAGGGGTAAACCCCCGAACACCTCAGAAACGAAAGAAGCCAGATACAAAAGCCTACATATTACATAACCCCATGTATGTGAAACAGCCAGAAAAGGAAAAGTTCAGAGACAGGGAGTTTGGGGATTTGGATGGAGATTAACTGAAAACAGGCATGAGAAACACTTTGGGGTGATGGAAGTGTCCTAAACTGGATCATGGTGACAGCTGCACAGATCTACAGTTTTACTTAAAAAAAAAAAAAAACATACAATTGTACACGTAAAATGGGTCAATTATGTGTACATATGTAAATTATGTTACAAAACAACTGTTTTAAAAATGGCAGCATTTAATTCAACAGTGAAAGTGCAGGAATGGTGCGCATTTGCCTATCACTCAGAAAATGAGCGTAAGAGTTAGAAAAAAGCAGAGAGGAGATTGTGAAGAACAGTCCAGGGTGGCATGATGCCATGTGTGTGCAGGGCATCACCCCCCTGTTTCTCCTGCAGGCTGGCTCTGCAGGGACCTTCAGCGTGGCCACCGACATGCATTGAAGGAGCTGGCGCTAAGATTTAAGTGTGATAGGACTCCGCCTGTGGATTTGCAGCACCCAGGGTTTTTTTACATAAACTGACACTATTGTGCTCATCAGCACAGTCTGCTGAGAGCCCCTCAGAGATCTCCCCTCTGAAACGATGGGTTAGCTTTGTGTTTACCATCTAGCCACAGGAGTGGGCGCGTCACCTAGCACAGGCTGAGTCAGTCACTGCCCCTGGGGGCCACTCCCCCGAGGTCCCGTGTGCCCTGACGTGACTGGTTAGGAATTCCCAGACTGCAAAGCCCCGACTGCTCTTTACCCAGCCCTTTCTCAAAGCTGTGTTTGCAATGAGTGCCTCTGAAGGATGAGGTGACAGCTCTCCACAAACACAGAGCCGGCTTCCTCCTCGGGTGCGATACAGCAGTGGGCCCCCGGGTCTGGTGCTTCTCGCCCGTGTGGGTGGCGTCGTCTGTGGGAACTGGGACTCGGAAACAACGTGAGCGTGCCGACACTCTGCCTACAGGTCCTGCTGTGAGTAGTGTCTTCCATCTCTGACCCAGGAGTCTTGTGTCTTCTGCCAGCACCACCCATGAACCTGGCACGCCAAATCTGATGGCTTGCGAGTGAGGTAAAGTCTTGAACCCATAACAGTTTGTGACTCTTAACTCACAGCATATTTCACTTACACACAGGAAGAAAACAAGTCTAAATTTTGGAGTCTGATCTCCACTGTATCTCAGAATTTCCTGTTAGCCAAATCACATAGCCCACTCGCCATGAATGGATTTTATGAAATCTAGATTTGTTTTGTTGTGTGGCCAAGAATGTTTTGAAGTCTAATAACAAGATGAATTATGTGAGGAAAAGAATAGGAGACCAAACTCAGAAACCTGTTAAGTTTTCACATCAGTTCATTCTCCTGCTGGGAAAGACGCCTTAGACAGAAAGGAGCTGAAACGTGGCTGCAGAAGGTCCCGAGGAGGCGCCCCGCTCTCCAGTAAGGACGAACTAAGCAAAGGTGTGTCTGTGGCCGACACTGGGTTCGGATCCCAGCTCTGCCACCCACTGGCCGTGTGGCCCTGGTTACGTGGCTTAGTCTCTCTCCGTGTCAGTGTTCTGACCAACGTCATGGAGAGGAACGATTTCATCGCCATCGCAGTGTGGCGTAGGGATGAAGGGCCGCGTGATGGCACGGCGTCCGGCCCATGCTCCCTGGCCTTGCCCTAGGCGGGGCCACGAGACGCCGCGGCTCACCTGTGGGACGTCAGCACCACGGCACAGCCTTCCCGAACCTCCTTCATTATAGCTTCCCACAGGAACCGCTTGGAGCAGGGGTCCATCCCCGAGCTGGGCTCATCCTAGAGGAGAGAAAACACACAGCGATGGACCTCAGAACTTACATCGGGCAGACGCCTGCCGTGATAGCACCCGGCCCAGAGGGCATCCCTGCTGCCACATCCTCGCTCAGTGAGGCCAAGGGCACCTCCTCCCAAGCTGGGCTCCCCTCGGTGACCTGGTTACTTAGCCCCACCCTGATGTTTTCAAAATGCATCCTCAACCTCTATAAAATTTCAGAATGATGGCAGAAAAAGGCTTCATTTATTTCACATCAAATAAAGTGAAATTTCTTGGAACCTGAAGCTTTCTCCTTCAATAAACACCAGCGCACTTCTTATATGAACCATTTTTGAGAAAAATGCTTCTAGACTGTATGATGCATTTCTGTGCTTTCTGTAATCAGGAGCTCTAAACACATTTTTCTTAAGAGCTTAGGGTCATCAACTTCCCCAAAGAAAGAAACAGAAGGGACGTGAACGAAAAATGGCACAGAACCGGGACACACACTCCTGATCTTTTCTGCAGGTCAGGTGATGGGTGTGCACAGTCACAGAGGAAGTGCCTGCGAGTGTGACATGCACTGTGGCTAGAGGTGGTGCATTTTCCTGACCCCACGTTGGTGTCACTGTGAGAGCCACTTGTCCCCTCTCTGGGGAGAACTCCCAAGGCCCTCAGGGTGTGTCTCAGACCACATGCTCTGGACACATCACCATAGTCACTAATGCTTACTGTGGCCCCGTGAATGTGCATTAGTTCAGGGACCGCTTCAAGGACCCCGGTGGACAGACCACATATTCAGGAGCGTTTTCAGACGAGGAGCCACGCACACACGTGTGAGGCTGGGCCCCGCTGTCACCACCCTGATCGCCAGGTCAACGTCCTGGGCAACCACGGGAGCCGAGGGCAGGACTGTGAAGGGCACCAGACGCTGTGCTCCAGCGTGGAGGCCCGGCCTCACTTCGCGTCTGTGCCAGGTGGGGCTGAGCGCAGGGAAACGCCATGAAGACGAACGACCAGCCGCCTCCTCTCGCAAGGAAAACAGAGTCTGCAAGCTGCAGCATTCTGCCCGCGTTGTGTTCATTCTGATTTCAGAATGTGCGGTTGTGCCATAGACCTTGATTTCGGAGCTCGGGAAAAGCACCCTTACAGCAGGTAAAAGGGGGGTTCAGGTCAGATTCCAGACGACAAGCCATAAACGGTGGGGCCACCTTCCATCGCAGGCCTTCTGGGTCCCTTTAGCTCCCCCACTGAGGTTCTGTTTCCTCTTAGTGGACGAAACAGAAAACAAAAGGACTTGGTTGTTCCCCACTCTGCGCCATGCCCCTCAGGCTCACAGAGGTGGGACTGCCTCCAGCGATAGAAGCCCAACTGTGGGGCTCAAACAGTGACTGCTGTTTATTGTTTGAATGATTACTTTTGAAATGCAAGACAATTGGCTCTATCACCACCTACAATTGCGCTTGCATCCTGCAAACTAGGTTCACTGCAGTCCCCACCTGTCCCCAGGCCACCTTGCGCCCGCTGAAGGCCCTCCCCGCCCCCCACACCCACCCTGCAGCCTGACGCTCACGGATGGACGGGGTCACTGCAGATGTGACAATCATCTACCCGCAGGTATAAAAAGGCTCAAAGCAACATGCGAGAGGCCGCGCATGTGTTGGTTTTCATGTTACAGGTGAATTCTGATATTTTTTAAAATACTGTTTGTAATGTTCAATTTTTATGGCCTCTTCAATTTGATAAATAAAAGTTGACTATCGAAACTAAATCTTTCCTTTCTGTAAAACCCCAGTGGTATTTTGGGTTGTGTTTGGGAGGTGCAGCCTTAGGGCAACAGCGCGCAATGCGTCAGAGAACCAGCGCTGCGGATTGTGAGTTTCCTCCCGGGAGGAACACTGCTGCGTCAGCGCAGCTTGTTTGAAGGCGCGAGCCCGTCGCCCGCGTCTGGGCCACTCACCAGCAGGAGGAGGTCTGGCTTCCCCAGCAGGGCCAGGGCTGCAGACAGCTTCCGCTTGGTGCCACCGCTGTAGGTGACCACAGGTTTGTCCACGTGGGCTTCTAGGTGCAGGCGCCTCACCAGGTCCCCAGCAACCTGGAGGAGAGGAGCTGTCTGTGAGCGCACCCCACTGGCCGAGGGCCCCCCGGAGCCCTGCCCACCCCTCACACAGTCCCTTCAGGACGTGGGGTAACTGAGGACGAACCAACGGCCCCACTGCACCAAGCTGGGCTTTCCGTGCCAGAGAGCCATCAGAATGACGGCCAGGAGACGGCCAGGACACTCCCGTCTGCAGCCCAGGTGGGGGGGCAGACGTGTGTCCACACTGAGGTGGGCGGCGTGGGGCGGCCGCAGTGCAGCGTGGGCATAAAACCCAGAGAGAGGGCGCTTCGAGGGGGCAGAGGACTGCCGGGGACAGGTGTTTGGAAAGAAAGACCCCCTTCCCCCGAGAGGTGCCAGGGTCGGCCCACTCAGCATTTGGTTTCTACAGCCCCCGGCTAGGGCGAGAAGTCAGGTCATCTCTTATTTACAGCTGCTGGGGACACAGGACGGTGACTGCACGTCAGCACCCTCAGCCCCAGGGCAGCTCTGACCCCCAAGCACGTAGCGCGTCCACAGCTTCCCATCCTCCCAACACCTCCCACCATTTCACACGGGGACGCCGCTCATTCCTTCTCCTCAGCAGAAGCAACCGTCCCGTCTTCAGAGCCTGGGCGTCTATGCCACCCTCCTGCTCAGCACCCGTCATGTGTGTCCTGCTGCCACCGTCAGCTCCCAGTTCTGTCTCTGGACAGGTCCTGGGGGGCCTCGGTCATGCAACAATTTCGTTTCCAACTCCATGTAACTTAAAAATTCTAGAAACCATTTTTCTTTAACTCTTGTGACCACAGAGGTATTAACTGAGATTTGATTTTTAGATATCGTCCTGTGATCAAACTAGTCAAGGTCATATCTTAATTCTCGTTTCAGAAAAGGACAAACCCTTAAGTAAATGGGCCAATAACTGCATGTCCTAAATAATTAAATAAAACACAGCTTTAAACTAATGCATATAAATATTATAGATAAATGACTAAAGTTGAAATAACAACCACAGTAACAGTGACAATGATGAGATAGAAAGAACTTCTAAAATATTAGGATAATAGTTAAGCTTCCCAATGAAAACTCTCAACATAAACGTCTCTGTCGCTTTCGTTGTGCAGCCTCCAGAGAACACAGAATAAAGAAGCTGGCTGTCCGGTCGGGTGCGCCCAGGAAGCACGGGGCAGCCCGGGCCACGCAGCCAGACCTGGGCCCCTGCGCCTGCTGCGGCGCCCGCCCTGCGGTCGGTCCTGTGTTCTTCCTGGGACGGCACGCTGCCCGCTCCCGGGCTGCTCTACACGGACCATGCCCCTCTGTGGCTGCATTCTATCCAATTGTTTCAAGTAACATAAGCTGAACTAAAGTGTACTGAAATAAATCAGAAAATTGTTCAAACAAAACATTCGGTTCAAAACAAGCAAACGAACAAAAGTATTCATGGTGGTGCCGCGTGAGGGATGGAGAGACGCAGCGCTGCTGGCCTGTGACAATCAGAGAGATGGCGGACTGCGGCCCCTGTTTTCCTCAGAAAGGGTCTTCCAGAAGTGTGAGAGCCGCCCACAGGTGGACAGTCCCCTGGGAGGGGAGGGGCACAGGGAGGTGCCTGGAAGACATGATAGGCTCTCAGGGGGCGACGCTTCCTGGCAGGGCAAGCGCTCGTAGCTGTGGGGCCAGCAAAAGTGACACACTGGGAAAATGACATCTGTCCATAAAAATGACTGAAAATGTAATGCGTGTGTATTGGAAAGCAATGTTTATTTCGCTCCCATCCACCTTATTCAAAGACTGGTGGTATGTAAATAAAAGCTGATCCACAGAGAAATGACATAAAATAGTCATGAAAGTGCCGGGTGCTGTCGGAAGGCCTTCGGGATAATAAGAAAATTTCTGAGTAAACTTGCCGAGCTGTTATCACTTTTCTCACAAAACCAGGAAGCATATGCCATGTTTTCCCAATTTCAAAACGGGTGAAATTGTACAGCCTGCAAACCCTGGACTGGTTAACCACAGGAGAGAGCTCAGAATACACAGGAGCAAATCTATCGGCTTCATCTAGGGCTGTGAATGCCATGTTTCCAGAAAGTAACTGAAAATGGTCAAATAACAGGTATTTTGTTGCAGTCTTTCCTGCACTCAGGACTCCTGTCAAAATAAGGACAAACGAATTACGGTTGGAAAAATACTGTCCAGACCCCCAAATGGAGAAGTTAATGGAACCTCTCTCTGCTTTTAGGTAGTTTTCTCCCATGAAGTTCTAGAAATTGTCCCACACTTAAGGCCTGAGTCTGGGATCCATTCATCTTTCTGTGCCCAGGGCTTAATCATGCTCCACACAGAACAGACCTTCGTAAATGTCATTTAAACCAACACAAGTGGGGCAGAGACTCACACATACATCTGTTTGATTCTAAAGCCAAAATGTTTCCACTAGCACGCGTGATGGCCACATGAAAATCTTCCGTGAGATGAAAGATCAAACTGAGGTGTTAGGTAGAAAAAAGGAGCCACAAGATTTAAGACAGAAACGTCCTTCTTACCACCCTCCCCCTGACTATTTCCTCCAAACACCCATTCCCCCTTTCTCAAAACTTCTAGCTCCTTCTAACAAAAGTGACAGTGAGTGGAAGAAAAGTTGAGGATAAAAGTTCCGTCTGCAGAGGGGACCGGAAGCAGGGGACACAGCCAGGGCTCCGTCCTCCCAGACCAGAGGAAACGGAAATGCAGGCACCTCAGTCCCCAGCCGGATGCAGTGACTCAGAGGACAGAGTCTGAAACTACCTTACACGCGTCTCCAGTGCCCAAGACATGTCACCCTGTGTCCTAAGTCATTTGGTTATAACTTAATATATATTTTTTACCAGGTTAATGAATTCAGGCTCAAACATAGACACTACACAAAAGTACGTGGTGCGGACAATGAGGAAAATCTGAAAATCCTCTCATCAACTGGCCAGGCTTAAATTCAAGCCAAGTGAGGAAAGGCATCTTTTCCTTATGCAGTCGAGGGGCTGGGGAACGGAGCCACATGACCATCCACAGAAACGACCACAGGCGAGCTGGGGCCTGGAGCGCAGACGGGCCCAGCCCAAGGTGGGGCCTCTCAGGTGGGAGGAGGTGCGGCCGGCACGCGGGGGCCTCTCCACAATCAGAGTGGACGCTGGTGGCCGCCCCAGCACAATGAAAACAGGCGGCAGCCTGGGGATGAGAGCAGGTGACACACCAGCAAATCCCAGCTGTAAGCATAGGTGCTGAGGACTGGAGGTGAGGCGCCAGCTGGGGCCCGATGCCAGCCCTGAGGAAGGGACAGATGAGCCCCGCCATGACCCCCCGCCACCCCCACTTATTCAGCCACCAAAGGGGCGTGGAAAATGAGACTGAGCCATTCATGGCGCTAGAGAGTGCATCTGACCAGCTGCAGTCTGAACATACTAAGCATCACTCAGAACACGGATACGAGGGCTTTGTGCGATTTCAAAACAAGACCCAGCACATCCCAGCCCTGCAGCCTGGGAGGACCCTTGTCCCACTTGGGCCTCAGCTCCCCATCTGTCGAACAGGTAATAAGCATCTTATCTCCCTCCGATGTTTGCTGTGAAACTCAGCACAGTGCTGGCCCAGAATGACAACTGAAGCGTTGGCTGCAACTATCGTTTTCTGGAATTTGTAATAATCCTCTGATCACCTAATGCTAAGCACATAAGAATGAAAGGCCTGTTCCACAGTTCAAACATTTCTAAGATTTATAGGAAAGGGGTTGCCATGAGGGCGCTGACTCCTCTGGGAACACGTGCTGAAATCTTAGGAGCCTCTGAGCAATGCTGTCTGTCAAATCAGCTGCAGTTTCAAGAAAGAAATGAAGCCCATTCCTAATTGGCAACAATTAAGATGACTTTTCTCGGGGAAGGATGCAGAAAAGCGAGCCCGTGAGGCAGCTGCATATCGGGGGCAAGCGCTGTGGCTGACAGGAAGCACCCAGCCTCACCGTATTAACAAGGACTTTTTCAAAGGGTGCATTTTCCCAGGACAAGAAAGGGCCAGCTCATGGTGCCTGCCAAGCACCCACCTCTTTAATCATAAGCTAACCAAGGAGCTGGCAAAGGCTGAGCCCCGATCCGCTGGATTTCAATAGCTGCTTCCCTGCAGAGCAGGGCTCCTGGAGGCCAACGGCTGTCTTTTTATTAAGGTGGGAGGTGGTGGAGGGACCAGGACCCCTCTGGGGACGTGGGGAGATTGAGCCCTCGTCTCACTCAGAGCTGCAGAGCATGAGCGAGAAGGGAGTCTGGAGCACCTCACAAGGGCACGGAGAATGCGTTTTCATGGAGCGGTGAAGGTGACGGCTGTCGGCTTTGTCTCCTCTGAAGCCTGGGACACTCCATCTCCTGCACAATCTCACTGAAAAGGCAGCCCTAAGCCTCTTATGTCTGCCCCTTGTTCAGAATCCAACCTGCAACGTAGAGAAGGCCCCAGTCTCTCGGCGGTGAGGTGCAGAAAAGGTAAAACTGTGCCTTAAGCACCTGCCGCTCTGGTGGCGGCCCAGGCGGAACAGCCCGCGAGCTGTCAGTCAAGGCTGTCGGCTCTGCTCGGCTGAGCACCGCTCATCGCAGGAGACTGGCAGCTGCACCCTGCTCTCTCACTGGCGCACCCCACTCCAGACAGAGATGAGGGGAGTCTGCAGTCTCCGGCCTCCTGAGCCCCCCAAGAAAGAGCCGGCAGGCAGCTGTCATGAAGGAAGCCGCCCTGTCCAACCCCTCTCTGAAGCCCGCACCAGTCTGACCCTACACCGCCCGCCCTGGGGATACGCGTCTACGATGTCTGTCCCTGAATACAAAGCATCAGTCCAGTGATGTGAGAGGCACCGGGAGGGAACACGTGGGAAGGATACAAAGGGGCAAACTAACGGTCCTGTGCCTTGTCTCCCACTACATGACTTCCTCACACAGACCTGCTCTAAATACATAATGTAAACACAACAGAAACACATTTCAGTGTAATCACCATAGTGAGAACATCGTCCAGGTGCATTTATCAGACACTGTGGTTCCTTCTTGTGGGCTGAGACAGCTGTGTTGGGATTCCTGGCGGCGGCGGCAGGGGGGCTTTTTCGGGAGAAGTGCAGCCTTACCTGAGGGATGCACGCTTTTGGAATCCCGCGCAGGCTGCAGTAATAACGCAGGTGCTCCCACCCAGTCAGGAACTGGTCCAGGGCGTCCTGCTGCGGACAGTAGCCGACACGAAGCCCTGCCAGGCCAGCGGAGGACAGGGCCACGTCCTCTCTGCAAAGAGAAGCAGCAGCACAGTTTGCAAATTTCAGCACCTCAGATAACATCTCCCATTTCTTAAACCTGGCCCATCACTAAGAGGTTCGCTGTAGCTTATCTAATGCAATTAATTAACTTAGCAGTGCTTTCCTGGCAAGTTTGTGCAGGCTGGTTGCTGGTGCAGGAGTGCATTCTGCTCTGACTTGGTGGGGGCCACTGACCACATCCTGTGGTGCCTTGGGGGCCTACCCCACCACCTAGAGCTGTGTTGCCAGGGGCACCCTGAGCCCCTGGTCCCTGGCCCCTACCTCCACAGGCCATAGAGGGTTTTTTGCAGCAGCAGACAGCCCGCAACAACCTATAAGGATTTTTGGTGGTGAGCACGGTTCCAGAGCACACAGCAGCTAATTGCAGGAAGCTCACTGCAAGCCTGAGAGGGAGGCCAGTGCATGACGCACTGAGCCCTTCCCCCCAACAGCTGGTGCTGAGTCGCCCAGAGTCTCTCTATTGCTGAGCAAGTGGTCTGCAGATTAAAATGGGCGGAGAGCCCCTCTTTTTTTTTTCTTTTTCCTTTTTTTTCTAAGTGATCTATCTAATACATCGAAGCAATCACAGAGCGACAGCCAGAATGAAGAAACAAAGAAACATGTCCCAAGTAAAAGACCAGAAGAAACCTCTAGTAATGAAACTAAATAAAACAGAGGTATCTAACCTTTCAGAGACAGAGTTTAGAACACTGATGATAAAAATGTTTCAGGAACTTAAGGATGACATAAAGAAGGATACAGAAATTATAAAAAACAACCAGGTAGAACTAAAGAATACAATAACTGAAATGAAGAACACACTCGAAGGAATCACCAGATTAGATGAAGCAGAGGATCAGATCAGTGATTTAGAAGACAAAGTAGCAGAAATCACCCCGTTGGAACAACAAAAGGAATTAAAAACAATGA